TGTGTGCATCATTCATCTGTCTTGCATGCACCGGGCTCGGCGCATCATACAAACTGCATTGTATTTCAATACTAATTTGAATACATGTTATCAAGTTGCATTCACATGACATCTTAGAATAGCTGAGCCTATCTTAGTTGCATTTTTTATGTGTTGCATTAGGCATCTTAACATAGTTAGGAGCATGCATGGTTTTCTAACTAGTTTCCTATTTTGGCTCGGAGTACACTGTAAGTGTTTATGCTTTAACATCCTTGTATGTGTGTAAGTGACTGCCATGATAGCATGCTTGCCATGAGGCTAACTGCTTAAGTGTTTTAATTGCATGAATGCCTGTGGATGAAGGCTTCATTACTTGAATTGGAACAATTCATCAAAATGTGCGTTTTAAGGCCACTTGAAGTGGCAAATCATCATGTTTTCTAAGCCCACTTGAGAGTGGCAAATCCCCGTCTTAGCCTACTTGAGGGTAGCAACTTCAAACCATTTTCGAAAAACAAACATGAGATGTTTTGTTCCAACTTGAGTGATTGAGTCTATATTTGTATGCTGTGCGCATCACATAGTAATATAGCTAAAAATCAGAATAAGAACACATGTGTTTTTAAAAACAACATATCATGCTAGTAGAGGCCGATCCTTTGATCGGGCAAGTGGGGGCGCTCATTTCAGGACCTTCCCCTCTCGTACCCAAGTTCCCGAGCCGAGGCAACTTTGGTGATGACGGACACGTAGCCTTAGGCACGAGTCAAGGTTTCCTAAATTTCCCAAAACAAAATATTTAAGTGGCGACTCTGAAATCTGGCAAAGCAGTCCATGTTTGGCGCTTTTGATTTAAAATCGATTTTCCAAAACGATTTGTTGGATTTAGACTCTTTGGTGATTTATCAGTCTTACATTGCACTTTGTGAGATTAGATTCAGAACCGTGACAGGAGTCCGAACTGTAGTGGCTCCAAACAAAACAATTCGCGCCCTCGCAGTGCGGAGAGCGGAGTTCTCGGGGACAGTCTACAGTCGCTTCACATATAATGCACCGAAGGTCGTTTCGCATATAATGGACCGAAGGTCGTTTTGTCTAAGAATTGGACTTGAGGTCGTTTTGCATATAATGTACCAAAGGTCATTTTGTAAATACGAATTTCCCAATTTCATGATTTTCATATTCCCAAATTAATTGTCTAATTTCAATTAGGGCTTTAATTTTCCCCTATTCACAACATTGCCCCCAAGGCCCAAACTTCACTCATATTTCATAACCAACCCCCCATTTCAAGTCTCTTATATATATTTGACTCAAACATGGAAAAACCCTCTTTTATAAATTACAAATCAAACCCTAACTTTTCCAAAATTACCAAACAACACCAACTAATCAAAATAACTAAAATTTATGTCAAGACTCATAGATTAGAGTAGGTTATCCCTACCTCGAAATGAAGAGACCAAATGGAGAAGCTGAAGAAAGTCCAAAGTGCTTCAAATCCACAAATTTTCAGATTAAAATGAAGCCCTCGTGACCCTCTATCTTTCTTACAAAGAGACTAGGGTAGAAATACTGTAAAAGTAGATGAAACCCTAGAGAGAAGGTATGTGTAGAGAGAGAGAGAGAGAGGCGAAACAGGGGTTTTCTTCGGCAAGAATTCGGAATTTGGGGTGGGATTGGAGTGGAACGCTACGGATCTGAAGGGAGAGGGAATCGAAGGTTTGAATTTGAAGGTGGGTTTTGAAGGTGGGTATAAAAAGGTGTTATTTTTTAATGGATAAAGGGAAAGGAGATGTAATGAATCTTTAAACCCAATTTCCCATCTCTCTAAACACTCACTCCCACACCCCTAAGAAAAACCACCATTCTCCTGCTGCTGCTGATAGTTCAGAGTGTTTCGGAAGTGAAATACTGGAATGTGAAATTATCAAATTTATGATACCATCAAAAGTGAAATGTGAAATGTGAAATATAAATTATGATACCATCAAAAATTATCAAATATATGATACCATCAAATTTTCTCATAAAACACTGGGTGCTCACGGATTGGTTTTGAGCGGTTCGAACTGCTGGTTGGACCCATGAGTCCAATGGCCTGCGGTTTGGGAAAAGTGAACCTACAATCGCTCATAGTATAGTTTACGGTTTGTGCAAGTACAGTTCGCGAGCAGTTTGCGGATTGCACTTTTTCCTTACAAAATTTATTTTTGAGCCTTTCCCCCCATTTTCTAAATATTCTTTTGGGCCATAAAAAAACGAACATAAACAATTCTAAGCTATATATTATGAGCAAATTTGAAAAATGAATTCTTTGTTAATTTTTGTTCTTTACGTAATCTTTTTTAGACTTGTGTATTATCCACATCATTCAAAAACATAAATAAATTAATAAACTATTACCTTAGAACATTCCCCAATGAAGATCAAACACTCAATAACAGCAAAAACCCAAAACTGTGTTACCTACAATTAGAGAGTCAATCTAACTAAACCCTAAAATAAACTAAACTTCCCCTCCTCAATCCACAATCATTGCCCTGGTCCAATTTGTCTGAAATTCCAAAATTTGAGACCTTCCCAGTGATCATTGATCCGAATCAACTTTTTTTTGGATAAAATAAAAGATTTTGATCAAATCAACTCTTTCTTTGCTTTCATGACAGAACCAAAGGAAATTTCTATTCAAAACCAAAATCAAAAAGATTCACCTAATGACAACACAGAGAGAAGGCGAAATTTCTATTCAAAACCAAAATCAAAGAAAACATGTCTCCAAATTCCACTCCATTTTCTTTAAACCCTAATTACTTACTTCAGAGAGAAGGCGATTCTTGGGAAGAAGTTTGGGCACTTCAGGAGGTAGAACCACAGAACCACAGAAGCAGAAACCACAGAACCACAGAAGCACTTCAGGAGGAAGAAGTCTGCAAAATCAACAAATCAATAACCAAAGAAGTCGAAATTTCCAATTTTTTTTTCCATCAATCCGATGTGGCAGCGCCGACACCGGCGAGGCGAGAACTACTGAATCAATCCGATGGGCCATGTGATCGGAACGCCAGATCTCGATCTATCAGCAGCAGCCCTAGATCGAACACATCTCAGCCATTGATGACCTCCTTCAGCAATGCTATCTGATCTCAGATCGGTTGTGAAGCACAGTAGGGAGAGGGAGAGGGAGAGAGAGAAAGAGGGAGAGGGAGTTGAGGATAACGTTTGGGTAGAGGCAAGCGTGTTTGGTAGGCGTGGGAGAGAGAGCAGAGCGTGTTTGGGCGGGAATCAAATACATCCCAACCATTGATATATATTTGGGATTGATCTTAGCCCTTGGATCAAAATATATCTCACATACATTTTGATACATTTTTCAAAAAGCTTTGTGCCTTATTATATAGATATATATATTAAACTAATAAAAAAATGATTGAAGGGTTGCCTAATGGTTTAGATGCTCCCTTACCGAGCATAAAACTTGAGTTTCTTATCTCTACGAATTTAACATTTTTTTTTTCTTCTTACTTTCTTTCTTTCTCTTCTCTTGGCCCAAAAATAATAATAATAATTTAAAATTTAAATGAAAAACTCAAATGAAAATGGTCTTTTGTCACTACAACAAAAACACACTTTAATGACACTATACTAGTGGTATCTTTTTAGAAAATGTCATAAAAATAATATTCAGTAGCACGTTTTTTAAAAATGTCACAAAACGACAAACATAAAAGGCTCTAGTGACATTTTAATAAACAAATGTCACAACACTACAACAAAAACACACTTTAGTGGCACTATACTAGTAGCATGTTTTTAAAAAATGCCACAAAAATAATATTTGATGGCACGTTTTAGAAAAATGCCATAGAACCACAAACCTATAAGGCTCTAGTGGCATTTCAATAAAGAAATGTCACATCAATTTTATGGCATTTCATAAAAGATTGACACAAGAAATTATTTTAGTGACATTTATTAACAGATGCCACTAAACTTTAGTAGCAATGATATTTTTAAAAAATGTCACTAAACTAGGTAGGTACAAGTTACTTTTTATGACATTAAGTGAAAAGTGTCATAAACAAATATTTTATAGTATTTTGAGAAATGCCACTAAGCTAAAACCTTTCCAAGCAATCTAATGGCTTTTTTGAAAAAAATAAGAAATGCCAATATATTTTTAAAATTTTTAAAATGCACAAAATAAATAAATATAAATAAATTACACTCAATATGACATGTTTTTTTAACTGTACTTGCCACATGTACAAAATTGATCAACGGCTTTATATGACTTAACAGGAAAAATAAAATTTCAAATTGCTCTTCTGTACAATGATAAACTTTCTTTAATTTTAGTTCCCGTAGTTTCAATTAACTCGATTTTGACTCTGAATTTACGAAATTATCTCAATTTATTTCAATTGCATATAATTGTTGAGTAAATTACATCAATAACCCTTACATTTTGTTGTTCCATATAATTTCAATTGACTCAATTTTGACACTTAATTTTAGATTTTACGTCAATTTAGTCGAATTGATAACATCTTTAGGGTCTTTGATAGAAAATGTTCATTGGATTGGTTAAGGTTAAGTCACTGAATTAACTAAGTATTTTGTTTTGCTCCTAAAATGATGACATGTTGCATTTGTCATTAAAAAAAAAAAATGCTATCAATTGGACCAATTTGAGGCAAAATAAAAAATTCAAGATTAAAATCGATTCAATTGAAATTACAAAATCTAAAATGACATAATAGCCAAAATAGAACGACTAATAGTGATAGTGTAATTAACCCTAATTGTTAGTATTTTTTATTGACAAATATATATATATATATATATATATATAAAAGTGACATATGTCATTCTTTTAAAGGCAAAATAATAAATTTGCTCAACTTGATGAATTAACCTCAACAATTTATTATTATTATTTTTTATTCAAATAAAGCCTTCAAAAAAAAAAAACTAAAGATAAACATCAATAGTGAATAGGGCAGCCATCCACTTGAAGATGATGGACCAACCAAACAGGGGGAATAGGGATAGGACCCGCCCACTAAATTGTCTCCTAACAGTAGCATCTCTTAGCCACTGTGTGAGCCACATTATTCAAAGCCCAACAGACAAAGCGAAAAAGGACTTTTGAGAAACCATGGCAGAGGTTCACAATATCTTGCACCACCATTGCAACACTTTGATCCACTATCTGATGCCCAGAAAGCATGTTGATAATACTTTGAGATTCCCCTTCAAGCGCAATGGAAGTGAAACCTTTCTCCAAACTCAGTTGAACCGTTTCTCTAGCTACAAGTGCTTCTATGAGAATGGCTTTGTTAATTCCTTGAAATTTCCTTGACTAAATGGCCAAAATGTGACCATTGTAGTCCAACCATTCTCAAATTGATGAAGCAAATTTGATTTTGACAGGACAAAGAGGGAGGAGCCAAGTAATGAAGTAAGGGTTTATCATTCTTCATCTTTCATACCATCCTTATCTACCATCTACACCACAAATTTGTTATGATTTCATCTTCTGCGATCAGGGTTCATTAGGTATTCTCTCTCTTTCTCACTCTCATTAAACACACACAATTCCTTTATCTTTGTCACTTATTTATGATATTCTTGTTTTAGGGAAAAAAATTTGAAAAGTTAATCTTTTTAACTCATGAATTTATTAATTTTCATCTTTTAATATAAAGGGTTAGTTGTGATTTACTATTATTGTATTTATGTTGTGATTTTATATAATGCCTTGCAAGTGTTTGTTTAAATGCTTCAGTGAGTGAGATTTTACATTATTTTGTTTTCTTTTTTTTTTTATAATAAAAAAAACCCTTTTTCTATTGTAAACATGAATAAGATGACAAAATAATATTAATCTCTTTTCGTATCATTGCTTGAAGAAAAATTCTATGTGTGTTTTTTTTTAAAATATTAGTAATCATGGTATTTCTAAAAGTCCCGATATTGTTATGGAAGATTGATTATATTATACCCTATCCTTTCTTTGGTTTTTTAATACCTAAAATGGTAGTCTCAAAATAGTTGATTTATAATCTAATTATATTGATTCCAAAGTTAGTGATTCCAAATTGTGATCATCTCAAAACAATTGAGTACTGTCTGTTTTCATTTGTTTCCCTGTGAGGAATACTGCTTGTTAGAATTGTAGAATATCCTGAAAGTCAATTAGCCTCCGTTTGGCAAGAACTTTTCCAGGCTTTTTTGGCTATTTTAGCCACAAAAAACAAAATAGGCTATTTTAGCCATAACAAACAAAACATCACATCCAACCTATAATCATTACATTCTTCTCTCACAAAAAAAGTCAAAAAAGCCAAAAAGCCAAAAAGCCCTTCCCAAACCCAGCTTTTTAGCCCAGGCTAAAATAGCCAAAAAAGCCAAAAAGCCAAAAAGCCAACCCACTTCCCAAACGGAGGCATGTTTATTATAATTTTGTTACTTGATTCCAATATTGATATGTTCCAATCCTTTTTGTGGCTATTATCCTTTTCTTTACATTGAATACCAAGCATTGCCTAATGTTGCATCTACGTTGGTGGAAAGAATGTTGATTAGTGTCTGTTTTCATGGCATGTAGATTTATAGGTCCACATAACATTGAAGACTATATACTACATGCCATGAATCTTTGGATAAGACCAGGGATACCTTACTAAATCTGTAATATGAAATCATATACACACAATAAGAATCTGAACTCATTTTCTCATGTGTAGACAATATATTAAGAGTCAACAAAATAAAACACACGGAAAAACTGTCAAATTACATAACATACCATGTTCAAAAGGGCTGCAAAAACGAAAACACAAACATATCTATCCAATTTTTCTATCATCCCTCTAGGTAGTTTCAGCAGCAAATGCTAAAACCTGTAACAATAAATTTCAGGGGGAGTCCCCTTTCTGATAAAAAGTAAAAAGAAAAATACTTCCAATAGTAAACACAACTACTTTTAGGGGAAACCATTTTGAACCATATGGTCAAAAGTGGAATCAAAAGTGATTTTAAATAAGAACTATGGTAAAGGTTGTGGGTGGAACAGGGGAGGGTTTGGTAAAGTCTTTGAACCCGGCCCCATTAAGGTAATCACTAGGGAAACATTTAATTATTAAACTTTATATATATATATATATATATATATATAATAAAATAAAAAACTTTTGGTCGTTAACTTGAAATCAAACAAAATAAATTTCAAAAAGTATAATAGTTGGACATAATCATAAATAGTTGAACTAAACTTTTTTTTTTAAAAATAAATATTGTGCCCCTCTCAAACTACACCACAATGATTCATACATAACACCAGTTTTGTATAATGCTTTCTCTACATTCCCAAATCTCCACCACCATTTGAATTGCTATTATAATAATGATATTGCATTGACTTTGTAATACTTATATTCTCTCACATGTTTTCCCTTGACATGAGTTGCCTTATAGTTATGCACCAACATATTGAATATGTTATATTCTATATTGTTGTTAGTATTTTATAGTTCTTGCAAAATCAAGTTTAGTCGTTTTTGTCAATCGTAACTTACAAATAGTTGTTATTGATATATGCCTTCTAAGTGTTTCTTTAAATGCTTCATTAAGATTGGTGATATTGACGAATGGGTTGAGATGGTTTATATACTCGTTGAGATGGTATTCTTTGCAGTTTCCTCACCCATGCATATATGAATGCTTTTTCTTAATTTTCACCTTAAAAGGCTTGCATAGTTATATTAAATTGTTTGAAGCAAGGTAGAATATTATATGGTCAGAGGGCATCTTTTAATTTGATGCCATTCCACATGTTAGACCTTTAAGTCCTCTAAGAAACCCAACCAGGTATGGCTAGCAAAGAATTTAAAAAGGAATGTTCCAAGAACTTTTTCCCACAACAATTTATTAAATTGCTATCCGATGAACTATCTTAAAATTGCAAAGTTGTTCTATTTTTGGCCTATGGATCGAGATAAATAATATTAATCAGTAAATGCATAATATTTTATTATTATTATTTTGTTTACGAAAGGTAATGTTTTAGATAATCACTAGTCGGGTGGGATTATAGCATGTGGTATTGGGATTCTAAAACGAGGGTATTGCTTGATACAGTGGCTATCAAAGATTCACAATCCTTTTCAATTTTGTTAGGTTAAATTCAATTAATTTGATACCTGTGTATTAGGGGTAAGAAGATATGAAACAATGAAAATAGAAATCTCTAACTTTTGCATCAACATGCTAAGTTTATTCTCTCTACTCATCTTTTAAAAAAAAAAGAAGCAATTTTATCATTTCCATCAAATTAACCATTACATGCAACAAGTTGTTATGCTAAAAATTTGTAAAAGTCGTGTTATGGAGAAGTATACGTGAGTTGAAGGAATTAGTGCAGTAAACTTCACATCTCTTCTACAGAAGACAGTAGATCACTTCTAGCTAGCATACTTACTTTTTGGTGAGATAATTAAGCATTTGACAATTTATTTATTTATTTTAGAGTAGAAGGACATACTAGAGAGCTGATGGAATTGGCATTGATTTAAATTGGATTGTGTAGACACCCCATTTTTTATCCCCCTTAAGACTTGGGCGCTACTGATGGTTTACTTGGTGATGAAATATATGTAGTGCAAAGATTCGATTCCTTCGGCAAGAGGAGAGTCAAATCCCAACCTTACACCTCATTTTAGACCAAAGTTATTTTGAATGGTTTTTAGACCTCAAAACCCTCTCTTTCAAAATATTTTTGAAATAAAGTTCCTACGATGTTCTGAGGCTCGCATTTCGTTAAATGTTGTGCTTTTCGGTAAACCGAGCAGGGGCAAAGTGGAAATGAATGAAAGAGAGATAAAATCTTTGAAAAATCTTTCAAAACACCTTGTTTAGGGGTTTAGAGTTGAAGAAAAGAGGAGAAGAGGGAAGAAACCAAGTTGGAGAAGAAGATGGGCATGAATTGCTAAGAGAGAGTCGAGCAACCCTTGCTAAATCAGGCTTATCCTTTTGAATACTTGGATTTCAGCTATGAGGCCACCACCGTTGGAAAGATTACTTCCGAGGCTTCATTTTTCACTTAAGAATCTCCTAAATCCGTGTCCGGATGAGGGAGATATAGTTGGTTAAAATTAGGCATCAATCCGGTTGGACCGAAACTGAGTAGTCTTCACTAAAAGAGGGATATCTCTTAGCACACTTCGAATTTTGATGCAAGGCTGACACCATTGGAAAGCTTACTTCTGGGGATTCAATTTTCACACAAGAATGACATGAAAAGGCATCCATATGAAGGAGTTATGCTTGCTTCAAGTCGGGGACCAGGACTGATTTTTGCTGCAGACCACTAAGGGAGTGTGCTGACCACAAATGGAGCATGCCGACCATCCAGAAATGATCTTTGCTGACCAGAAAAAGTGGTCGGTCGACCAGTTGGGGTGGTTGGTCGACCAGAAATTTCCAAGAAGCCCAGAATCTGCAGATATTTCCTTTCCAGCTGTTGTGCATTGCATCAGATATTTCCAAATCAAATATTTCGACCAAATGCTCATATATTGCTATATATTGAGCCATATCTCATATATTAAAGGGTTAGCAAGTTTTGGGGAGTCTCTCTCTCTATAATTTTGTGAGCAAAATTCCAGCCCCTCCCTCTAGAAGCATCCTTCTCCTCTTGTTTTTGAGCCTTAAGCTTAGAATTCTCTACACTTTTGCAAAGAGACCCTTAACCAAACTTGATCACCATTGGGCTGAGGTAGCTTGGGACTTTGTTTGATCTCCAAAAGGCTGATTTTGGCTGGTTTTGCTGTTATGCTTCAAGGTGCTTCAAGGGTAAGCACTTCCCCCTTTCAAGCTTGTTTTTACACACTTGCTTTATCCCCCTTTTTCGATTGTTTTGGACTATTTTGGGGCTGGTTTTGAACTTTTATAAACTCTGTTTTTGAGGCATAAAAGTGTTGGTTTGTGCCTTGTTTGGCTAGGGGGTTGTTCTCCCTTTTTGTTCATTGGCTTGTGAGGCCTTTTGTGCAACTTTTCACCACCTTTCAAACCAACTTTTTTGGCCTTCTAACCACTGAATTCCAAAGGAATTTCAGTGGTGGAAAGGTAGTTTTGAGGCCCAAAATGGGAGGGGGTGGTCACCCCTCCTCTTGTCTTATTAAAATGTGTTTTGGCCTATCAAATGAGCATGTATTTCTCCCTTCTTGAGGCTTAGTTTGAGCATGTTTTTGTGACTTTTTGGGCCTGCTCTAACTCTGTTTTAGGCTGGTTTGGTTGTTTCTTGCATGCTCCTTATACTTGTAGTGTAAACCTTGCTCACTAGCTTTGTATGCTTGCTATTTTAGCCTATAATTCTAGCATGTTTTGGCTCCACTCCAGCACATTTTTGGCCATTATTTAACATGCTTTAACTCTTTTTTTAGTTGGTTCGATCACTTGTTGCATGCTTCTTACACTTGTAGTGTAAATCCTCTTTGCTAGCCTTGCATGCCTAATGAGTTAGCTTGTTATTCTAGCATGTGTTGACTTAGTCTCAGCCCATTTTTGGTGTTATTTTGACATGTCATAACTCTGTTTTTGGTTGGTGGAGTCACCTCTTGCTTGGTTTTTGCACTTGTAGTGCAATCTTGCCCATTGGCCTAGTGTACTTGGTGTTTTGGCCCTTCATGCTAGCTTGCCTTGGCTATACTTCATACATGTTTTAGCATTATTTTGACATGCTTTAGGACTATTTTTTGTGTTCTTGGCCTTTTGGGGCTTTCTTTGTATACTATATTGTAAATGGCTTCACTAGTCTTGAGTTTTGAGGCCACTACCATGCTATACTTGTGATGTTTGCATGCCTTGGCATCATTTGGCATGGTATTTCAGAGCTTTTATCTTTGTCATACTCTCATGTTTATCACTCTTTAATTATATTTAAGAGTTGTGTCATGATGTCTTATTTGTGAGCTAATACATGAGCATATCTTTCTTGCCATCTATGCTGCAAGTCTACATGTTTTTGCTACTATTTTGACCTGCCTTAGGTCTGTTTTGAATGGTTGCGGCCATTTGAGCATTACTTAGTATGGTTGTAGTGTAAAGCCATTGACTAGCTTTGTGTTTCAAGCCTCTTGACATGCTTTCTATGAGCTGTTTGCATGATATGGCACCATTTAACATGTTATTTCAGAGCATATAATATTGCCATGTTCTCACTTCTTTCACTCCTTGAGTGCTTTTAAGAGTTGTGTCTTTGTGCCTCGTTTATGGGCCAATGCGTATGCATGCATGCCTAGGCTTTTGAGCTCGCACCTCAGCATGTTTTGGTTTTTGTTTTGACCTAATAGAGTTCTATCTATGGCTGGTTCAATCATTTGTGCCATGTATTGTATGCCTCTTGTGTAGTCCCCTTCACTGGCTTTAATGCTTAAGGACCCTAGCATGCCATACTCGTGTTCCTTGCATGATATGTCATCATTTCTCACATGATTTCAGTGCTTTTACCTATGCCATACTCTCATATATGTCACTCTTTCAATGTGTTTGAAAGTTAAGACTTTTGCCTTGCTTACGAGCGAATGAATGAGCATGTGTTCTTTGCCCTTTTGTGCCTAATTTTTGGTGTGAATTGGCCACTGTTTTGGCATGGTTTAAGTCTGTCCATAGTTGGTTTAGCCATTTAAACTTGGTATTGCATGACTCTTATGAGATGCTCTTTACTAGTTTTGTTGTTCTTGGCCTCCGAATATGCTATGCATGCTTTGCTTGCATAATGGAATCTTGTGCATGCTACATTTGCATTGATAGGGTGATCATCTTATTTGTGTTGCATGTGTTTGGGTTGGATGTTAATCCGAACACAAGGAATGTGGCACGTTTCGTACTCAAAGTGATGAAACGTGTTGCGTTTCTTGGTCGCCGACCCTTTTGATCAAGCATGATAGAGGCGGAGGCTTTTATGTGTTGTTTGTGCATTCATTGACATTGACTTGTGCAAACTCGGCTTCTCGGCCATTGTGCATTACGATGCTCGGTTGATGGCTCGAGAGTCGAGAATCACACTCCCTTGAGCTTGAGAAATGATAGGGAGGGTGGTTGTACACACATATCTTGCAAATACACTGCTATACCCCTTGTTGTTCACTGCTACAGCAAAAGTGGAGTTTGGCAAATTTTCTAGTCTATAGCCAGTTTTTCTGGTCTATAGCCAGTTTTTCTAGTCTACAAGTGGTCTACAGCCAGTTTTTCTAGTCTACAAGTGGTCTACAACCACCTTTTATGATCGGCAACCCACTAGGAGGTCCCCACGTTGGAGCATAAGCAATCTGGAGGTTTGTGCACTTTTCAAAGAACAAATCAAATGCAAACAGAGGCAATTCCGGGTATAGAAATGGATTTCTGAGCGAGGCAATCGAGAGCATGCATCCTTCATTGTTCAAGGCAGAACTGTGGCAACCTAGTTTACATACCTCACATGCTTAGTTAGTTACCATGATTAGTTAATTTGTTAATTAATTAAAGTGTTGTAATTATTAGTAATTAGTTGTAGCTAGTTATTCAATTTATGTTATGTAATAATTAATCTAATTAGCATAATTAGATTAGTTGTTAGGTTAGCTTAGATTTAGCTTAGCTTATTATTCGGACCTTCTGTCGAGAGGGAAAATGTTGTAATAAGTGTGCGTGTGTGTGTGAAAGTCTTCTAACCCCACGTCTTTCTCTCTTTTACTTAACTGCTTTCGATGGTTAGTTTAGGGCATATTTCGATTAGCATACCTTATGCTTCGCATGCGTGCATCATTCATCTGTCTTGTATGCACCGGGCTGGGCGCATCATACAAACTACATTGTATTTCAATACTAATTTGAATACATGTTATCAAGTTGCATTCACATGACATCTTAGAATAGCCGAGTCTATCTTAGTTGAATTTTGCATGTGTTGCATTAGGCATCTTAATATAGTTAGGAGCATGCATGGTTTTCTAACTAGTTTCCTGTTTTGGCTCGGAGTACATTGTAAGTGTTTATACTTTAGCATCCTTACATGTGTATAAGTGACTGCCATGATAGCATGCTTGCCATGAGGCTAACCGCTTAAGTGTTTTAACTGTATGAATGCTTGTGGATGAAGGCTTCATTACTTGAATTGGAACAATTCATCAAAATGTGCGTTTTAAGCCGACTTGAAGTGGCAAATCATCATGTTTTCTAAGCCTACTTGAGAGTGGCAAATCCGTGTCTTAACCTACTTAAGGGTAGCAACTTCAAACCATTTTCGAAAAACAAACATGAGATGTTTTGTTCCAACTTGAGTGATTGAGTCTATATTTGTATGTTGTGCGCATCACATAGTAATATAACTAAAAATCAGAATAAGAACACGTGTTTTCAAAAATAACATATCATGCTAGTAGAGGCCGATCCTTTGATCGGGCAAACGGGGGTGCTCATTTCAGGACCTTCCCCTCTCGTACCCAAGTTCCCGAGCCGAGGCAACTTTAGTGATTTCGGAGACGTGGCCTTAGGCACGAGTCAGGGTTTCCTAAATTGCCCAAAACAAAATATTTAGGTGGCGACTCTAAAATCTGGCAAAGCAGTCCATGTTTGGCGCTTTTGACTTAAAATCGATTTTCCAAAACGATTTGCCGGATTTGGACTCTTTGGTGATTTATCAGTCTTACATTGCACTTTGTGAGATTAGATTCAGAACCGTGACAGGAGTCCGAACTGTAGTGGCTAGAACTACAATTCGCGCCCTCGCGCGCTGAGCGGAGTTCGGAGTGGTCTACAGATTGTCCTTGAACTAAAATTCCTTGGCACCAGGGCATCAAGTTGCCAAAGTTGATTTATAAGGGTTAGACAATGCTTTCACTTGGTTCAATTTGATGCTCACAATAATACTCTTATGTCTTTCACATGTTTCTGCACAAATTCTTTTACATGTTTTCCCTTGACATGAGTTGCCTTATAGTCATGCACTAATAAAACAAACCAAGACATAACAATGTATGCTATAGAAGCTAAAAATTCGGAGCTAAGGTCCAATGTTTCCCATATTGAGCATGCTCCAAATAACTTGACAAACACATCTAACCAGGTAAATTTTTAAATAGAATTTATAAGTTATTAATGTTTTCCTACACATATATATACATACATATATCTATGTGTGTGTGTTTGTAAAATTAATTAGTTCAAATCTGGTTAGGTGACAACAGCTTCTAGTCCTCTTGACATGGTCCTTGTCATCGATACAAGATGCCTCTCTTACTCAGGTACCCACTAAGAACTAATCATATATATCACATTACTTCCAGCTTTATTTTGAATAGCATGCAAAACTTGTCTTACAATTAACCAATGAATGAATATTGTGGACCTAAATTCCATTGTTTAAATCTGGACAAAATGTGCTACATAGTAAAAATCATGACACAATGAAACTTGTGTTTTTTATTTTTATTTTTTATTTTTGTTTTCTTGTGAAGCTTCAACAAGACATCTCTCAATCATTTATTACCGCATGGGCTCTCTCTGATTCTCTCAAAATATTGCTTGAAAGTAATTAGTTGATTGTCATTTTTCACAATTACATTTGATTTACATCGTTGAGGTTAGGGGATCGTGATATTGATAATGGGCATGGTTTTGATTATTGTTGATTGGTGCGTTTGGTTGTTATTGATTTTTTAAGCTATTGTTTGATATGGTCTAAAGACTTACGGTTGTTACTTTTATATAATTTGTTGTAGTATGGTGAACCAATTAAGTGATTAAATCATTTGGCTTGCTTATCTACTAGAGAAATGCATATCACTTTCAGTTATGATCATCTTCACTCTGGCACTTTATACTAGTTTATTTTTTAAATATTATTTATTAATTTTAAATATATAATTACTTAAGTAGTTAATCTTGATTTACAGGTAGGAGATATAGTTATTCTAAAAAGTATTGTTAGGCTAACAGAAACAGTTACAATCGGAGTACTTAAAAGCATAGACACATCTGAAGAAGTAGAAGGGGAAGAACTAGGACCTGACTAGGAAGTACATGTTCAAGTGCCAGTCAAACCTAATGAGAGCTTCATCCGATCATATGGACTTGTAAAAACAGTTAGACAAGCCATTGGAGTTCATGTTGCTTGGTCTGCTCCAATTATCGTATATTTCTTTCTTAAATACTAATTTCATTAACAAATTTATATAAACTTAATATAGTTTCAATTACCTTTATATGTTTACCTTTTGGATGCAGATTTTGCAAGTTATAGATACTAGCCGAGAATATTTATACAAGTGAGGTTGAGAATTTGGGAACTGGTTTTATTTTGATAATTTGTCTCTCTGGAAGATGGATATCACTATGGTTTTTCAGAACTTATGATTGGAATAATTTTCTTTTAAATTTTTTTTCCTTTAACTTTGTTAGTAGTAGAATATTTTATAATTTTGGCAAGGGATTTTTATTGCAATATAAATGAATTTATATTTCAATAATAAATAATTGATGTGGTTTGAATTTTTTATTTTTATTTTTGATGTGATGATCCAATGATGGTAATAATTGTTTATTATTATGAAAATATTACAGGATGAATGAATGTCAAATTAATATAGGATGTGACAATTAATATTCAAATATTTACAAAATTGATTCAATTTTTACAGGCATTTACGCATGCTTAGTTGTAGCTTTTAAAAGTGTCAATAAAAAGAACACATAAATGGCATTTTGTAGTAGTGATAGTAACTTTGCAAAGTGTCACTAAAATAAGTTCTAGTAGCACTTATATCATTTAATGGCACAAATGAATTGGATTTAATGGCATTTATGAAGTTGTTATAAAGCATAACAAGTGTCATTAAAAATTCATAGCGTGGCATTTTTTAGATTGCAAGTCTTCTTTAATGACACTTGATAGCGTCACGAATAGTGTCTACCATGACATTAAAATGTCACTGAAAGTGTGTAACCTTGATGGTGTAATGGCACTTAGAAGTGTCACTAACTCTTTTTTTAATGGCGCTTGATAGTGTCACAAATAGTAACTATCATGACATCAAAATGTCATTGAAAGTTTTTAGCCATGATAGTGTAGTGGCACTTGCAAGTGTCTACCGTGGCACGGCTACAAATGGCACTTGTTCAAAATGCCACAAGACTAAAAAATGTCATTAGAAGAATAGTTTTGTAACACTTTCAAATGTCACTAAATTAAGAAAATGTTGTAATGTGTATTTGAGTAATGTTCCACATTCTTGTATCTTATGGGGTGTTTGGCAAGAAAAAAAATAGCCTAGTTTAGGCTAAAATTCACAAAAAGATAAAATAGGCTAAAATAGCTAATAAGACAAAATATCACATCAAACTCATAATCATTTCATTTTTTCTCTCACAAACATCGCATCCAACCACAAAAAAATCCAATCATCTTCCCAAACACAAAAAATTTAGCCTACTAAAATAGTCAAAAACTAAAATAGTCTACTAAAATAGCAACTTAAATAAGAGTTGGGTAATGCTATGGTAAGGGTGTGTACCATGTAAGTTATAATATTTGTGAGTTTGATTTTCATAAATGTTATAATTTAATCTTATAGGAGTCATAAAAAATAAAAATAAAAATAAAAATTAACCAAACACCACATAAGATATTAACCAAAGAGCTCTTAGATCATAATCAAAATAATATCATAATTAATATTATAATGAGTCATAATTAATAGCACAATATATCATAACCAAACACCACAAAAATCGTAACCAAATGTGTATGTGAATTACACCCCCATAGAGAGATATTGGTATTTGTAGCATTTTCATATGCATTTTCACTTAAATTGTCAGGTCCTACTAAATACACCAACAAAATTTTTCTGTACACCCACCTCCCTCTTGATGCATTGAAAAGTGTACTTCACTCAAATATAGGTGTCGAGAGAAATTATACGAGTGCATTAGCAGCACCCAAAAAAATGTCTTGAAAGAATGGCAAAATAATGGTTCGATTAACAACACCACGGACCCGGCCCAGTCATACGTACCCACAAAGCAATCAAATCAGCCCATCGATTAAAAGTCGACCAAATGTCACTATTAACGTAAGTTCTTAACTAATAACATGGACAACATTTATCAGCTGTGTTCCACATTTTTAGATTTGATTGTGCACACAAATTTTGGATACACACTTATGGTTTGATTAATTACAGTATGATGATCCAACAGTTGAAATTTCAAATCAAAATTCACTCAGATCACATCAATCACGGAGATCAAATCGAAGTAGGGTGCATGTTGTGAGGCTCATCAAACCTTGTTTTGAGTCTATGTTGTTGATCCGAATTGTTCATATTGTAAGATTTATCAAACAGATTATCCATACAAAAATTTAGATTAATTGTATATCTGTAATCTCAAAACAAGATCATATACATTTTTTTTAAAAAAAAAATAAAATAAACGGTTAGTATAATTTTGTTAATTTTTTTAAAAACAATTAGGACTTAATCATGAACAATTAGGATTTAATTTTTTTTTATGAATAATATGTACGACAAACTCTATAATATGACCAGTTTAGATTATCAAAATAAAATCGGAACACATCTCCATTGGACCTCACAACATGCTTAACGTGACATTAATCACAGCATGCACCCCTTTTCCCTTTTTCATTACCTAGATGAATCAATCAAAAGTGCCAATTTTGGTAAGAACCATAAACTCGATCTCATGATATAGACTCATTCACTTCAAAGTTCATCATGTCCACACAAAGTTCATCATGTTCTCAATTTTTATTAGGTAAATGTCAATATCTAATTAAATTAATTTTTTAAATAGATTATCTACTTGGTGGACTCTATAAATTAAACAATTTGAATCATCAAAACAGGTACGCAGTGGGTCTACAATAATGTAAACTAGACTCTTCAATCCAAAAAGTAAATTGGAGCCGTGTTTGCTCATTTTCAATACTTTTCAAATTGTTTAGAAACTCCTTAGTACTATGAATAATTCCAACTTTTATCTTGTATTTTCCGAATTATTCAAGACAATTGACCTGAACTTCGAAGATTTTTTTGCACTTATTTCTTTTTCAATCAATTTTTTTTTCTTTAAAATGCTTTATGAATTTTTACCAATAATTGTCTGAATGATTTTCTGCATTGAAAGGTTAGTTTCCATCTCAATTCATGGACCACTTGAATTTACAATTTTTTTTTTTTTTTTTTTTCCAGCAAACAATTGTGGAAAAGGCTATTGTGCTGGCCATTCAAAGTTTCCCTTAGAGATTAGTTTTCTATTGATTTCAAGATTGAAAATAGAATAAGGTGACCATGTGATATGGTTTTAGTAGAAAATGACATCCCAATGTTGACTACATGGATTATTTATTATTGAAGTGTAAAAGAACACAAAATATCTAAAACCATTTAAAAGAAAAAAAAGAAGTGATTGCTGTTTATATGTCATTTTCTTCAACAAACGGTTCCTCCAAGAATACAGTAAAAAATAAGATTTTGAATAGCATTTCCGAACTTGTATTGTCCGTTTGATTGGAGTGAGAAATATATTAAAAACTGATTGATTAAAAAAAAATTGAAGTAAATAAAGAAAAGTGAAATGAAATTTTATTTTCACCTATGCATTTGGTGAAATCTTTTTGTTTATTTTTTTTTGGGTGACAAAATCATAAGAAAATTAAGATATGAGATAAGAATTGGCTACTTTTATCAGAAAAATAATTTTCATATATATATATATATATATGCAGAAAAACTGAAAGACAAGATACTGGAAGTGGATTCACTACAGGAAAAAGTGTTTTTTGCGACAGCAAAACGCCGTCGCAAATGGTCCGTGAGCCGTCGCTAATACCTTTTGCGATGGTAAGTTGGCCTTTTGCGACGGCAAAGGGGGGTCGCGACAAAGGGGGTTGCAAAAGGGATTTAGCGACGGTAAGTGCCGTCGCCATTATTTTTTGCGACGGGAGGCTTCCTTTTTTGCGACGGCAATGTTCTGTCACCAATAATGGAAGAAAATCTGACTTTTTGCGACGGCTCAGTATTTCCGTCGCTAAAAAAGGTTTTTGAGACGGCAAGAAGGCCGTCGCTAAAAGTGTCGTAGCTTATACTATTGCCGACAGCAGCCTGAGCCGTCGCTAAAGGTTTTATTTTAAATTAAATTTCGTAGCTTTTGCGACAGTATGTCTGCCGTCGCAAAAGCCTCCAAAAATGTTTTTGCGACGGGTTATTATGCCGTTTCAAAAAATAAAAAAAAATAAAAAAAACCTGTTGAGAAATTATTTAAAAAATTAAAATAACCTGTATTAAATGAAAAATAACTATAAAAAATCCAAAAATTACATAATAATATAAATACATACATAAACAAAAGTTGACAAATAATAAAAATTCATCATGTTGTTCCATTCATAAAATACAGAAATAAAAATTCATAAAAACAAAAATTATGCCACTACATAATGTCGACTCTTTCTCTTTCTCTCTACAAATACTTAAAACCCAAAACGGCTAAGGGTTAGCCACACAAATTACAACTCATTGATTATCTGTATTGTGATATGCTTCTAATTATTTAGCAAAATCAACATAAAAGTATCAAATTCTATTATTTAAACCATTAAAAATTAAATTGGCCATTAAAAATTAAATTGGAGCATTACCGCCAAAAGGTCAAGCTTGGGCAACAACAAAATCAACACTGCTACAGACCCCCACTGGAGGTCGACCCCCAGTGACGTGGCGCAACGCCATTCGTCAATTTTCATTTTTTTTTTTGAGAAATGTAAATCCAAGTCTTTATGCTTATTACACATACCTTCTCCTTTGCCCAGCCAAAAGCAAAGTTATAGATCTCACGGAACTTTTCTGGACAACCATATTGAAGATTAGTTTAGTAACAAAATAGTGGAAATTCTAAAGTTCATAAAATCAGGCCAAGTTTGGCATATAGCCAAAAAGCTAAAAAGCCAAAAAGTTACTCAAAAAGTTAAAAAGTTAACACTATTCATCAAAAGTCAACAATTACGGCTGCACAACTCCCAATTCGAATTTTACCCTACAAATTAATTTTTACAATTTTTTATTACACATTTTTTCATAAAAAGTCAAAAAGTTAATCCAAATATCCATATTTTCTTCCTCAATTTTTTAGTCCAAAAAGACAAAAAGTGCACTTATTTAGGACACTCTAAACAACCCCTTAGTGACCGGTAAATTATAATGATAGTTCTTATATTTTATTTAAGGGCATGGCTTCTGTCCAGTCCTTAATCGGACTGGACTGTGCTGTTGGGTCCGTTGGAGTCCACCACGGGTCCCGTTTTGATAATCTAAACCGTTCAATGTGTAGAACATGTCGAGTACTATAAGCTTGTAAAAATCACGTTGATCGGATATCGGTAGCTATGTGATCAAATCAGTTTTGTATAAAAAAAAAATGGACGGTGAATAAATTAACGATTGACAAAAATCTGTTTTGATCACATAGCTATCGATATCCGATCAACGTGTTTACAGACATATATTACTCAATGAGTTCTATATATTGAACGGTTCAGATTATCAAAACAGGACCCGTGGTAGGCCCCCATAGGCCCAACAGCATGGTCTAGTCCGATTAAGGACTGGACAGAGCCAATGCCTTTATAATGTGTGGTTTTGATTCCTAAACTTTCAAATGTCTCAAATTGGACTCTTAATTTTATATTTTGTGTCAATTTAATTTAATTGATAATACTGTTATGCCATATTTATTTGGGCGGATTGGATTAGATTGGATTAGTATTCCCATGATTAATAGTCCTCGAATTACGAATCATTTTGATTGTGTATCATATCCTATGTTTTGATTGAGTTGGGATTATAAGGAGAGACTAATAGTCTAGACTTTGGCTTAGTCCTCCAATTTATATCTCACCTCCCTCTATGGGATTGAATAGTCCATCATATAGGGGATATGATATCTGGACAGATTATTAGTCTGTACTTCAATTGTTTAACCAAACATCATATTCATAATTTTATTTGACTATTAGTACAATCTCAATCTCATGTCTACTCAAACAAACATGGCCTTAGTGTTTTTGAAAAAAAATTATCACTAAATTGGTTGGGGTTAACTCACTAAATTGAGCAAGTCTAAAATTTTATCCCTAAAAATATAATATATGCCACTTACGTGTTTATTTTGCATTAGAAAATGCTAACAATTATAATCAATTGAATTAAATTGAGACAAAATTATGAATTCATGGTTAAAATTGAGCCACTTAAAATTACAAGAATCAAAATAACACAATTACCAAAATACAGGAATTGCTAACAATTATAATCAATTGAATTAAATTGAGACAAAATTATGAATTCATGGTTAAAATTGAGCCACTTAAAATTACAAGAATCAAAATAACACAATTACCAAAATACAAGAATTACCGGTATAATTTACCCTAAAGTGAATGACGACTCTACAATTTTAATTAATAATGGAGGGAACAGGATATTTTAATGATTTTGTCATATTTCTTAACACAATATAACCAATTAACAAAGTACATAAAAATAAAATAAAATGACAATAAAATATCTAATAAATTTTTTTTTTTTAAATCACACTTCAAAACAACGTACTTTTTTCTTCAACTCCAAGTTTAGAATTAGAATGCTAAATCAGCTCAATATCATCGGGTTCATTTCTTGGTGAACATTTTCTATCACAATCTCTTTGATCCCTTCATTGATGTGCCACAATACAGAAAGATTTCGTAGAAAAGTGGAAGAGATTTTTTTTGGTTCGAATTCGACCAGTTCCTACAACGCCATTCCTCCCTTCAGTTTTTTACATGTTTTTGTGGATAGAATGAGGGCCAGATCAAAGGTTGAAATCTGGGAATTCTTGGAGTGAGAATTTTTGCAAATTCCACCAAAATGAAGTATGTTTTGTTCACAAGACTCCAAGGCAAGGCACACTCATAGTAGAATAAAAATGAGTAACTTACAAATATATAACAACTAATCAAGCACACACCAGCAACATCAACAACAGCAGGCAACAAACCTACAGTATTAGTTTACACATGCTAGCTAGGACTCTTTTTATTTCATTATCATTACAGAGAAGAGGTAGTAGTAGTAGTAGTAGATATAGCTTTATGTATGTCTGCTAAATTCACATAACATATATATGATCACATTATTAAGAAGCATTGACAGCAATCTTCATCCCAGACTGACAGTGCCCTGGAAAGTTGCATATGAAGTAATTCGGTCCCTTAGCCAGACTTATCCTGTCCATCCCCGTTTTATAGACCTTTGCACTTGCCGGAGTTGTGCAGCTGCCATAGCCTCCCCTGTCCACTGCAACCACATTGTGGGCTGTGGGATCATAGTTGAACACTGCACCACAAAGCACAAACACACACACTGTCTTTCAGGGTTTGTCACAAAATTGGGTGTTTGTACTAAAACCCCTCTTTATATTTTACTAGCCCCTACTAAGGTTTCAAATAGTTATATTGAGAGACAAATCAGTATAGTTATATTGGTTGGGGGATTTAGGAAGGGATTTGGAAATGGAAAGGGAAAGGGAAAAGGTGTGTGAAACTATGTGAAATGTAGGTATATTTTTTTTACATTTCACCTACTTTTTCTATTTCCCTTTCCAAATCCCTCATCAAATCCCTCAACCAAACACAGCATTAGGGGCCAAGGGAGAGGGGGGTCAGGGGAGTCTTGCCCTGTAAAAACTTCATAGACTCAAATTTAAAGCACTGATGTTTAAAAACAATACTTACCATGAGGGATTTTGATAAATTTAAACACAAATCATTAATGAGTAAAGCTCAAATTTAGAAGAGATTTCATGATTGAATTTACTACTTTACCATGATAGATTTTAATAAATTTGAAATAATAAGGTAAAGCAATTTTTTGTAATTCTCTTCTTACTCTAATTTTATCTCCCCTTTCCATTTCTGAATTTATCTATAATAACCAATTCCTCTATATTTTTATAATATTTAACTTGAAATCTCTTTATTTGAAATTCATTCATCCAAATTGAACCTTACAAATGTTTCTGTGTCTAAAGAATCACATCCAAACTTAAGTAAGGCTCTGTTTGGGAAGAAAAAAGTCAGGTTTTTTTGGCTAAAATAGTTACAAAAAACAAAATATGCTATTTTAATCACAAAAAACAAAATATCAAATCAAACCCATAATCATTACAATCCCCTCTCACAAAAAAAGTCAAAAAAGTCAAAAAATTAAAAAGCCCTTTCCAAACCAGGCTAAAATAGTCAAAAAGTCAATCCACTTTCCAAACGGAGGCTAAGAAACTCTAGGATCTGAATTATGTAACCAGTAACTCATTTTATTTGATAAGCTGACATTCAATAAATTCTGCCATTTAAATGGTTTGACTTTCTATTATTTTGTTTAGTTTACAAGAAAATTAAAAGATAGGACGTTTTAATAAATAAAAAGAAAGGGTTGATGTTTTTTTCATGTTTTTGCTAAATTCATTTGCCATTTTCTTTGCTACAAAATAGAAGTTTTTTATTTTTATTTTTTTTTACATATTGTTTAGTTGTTTACATTAAGAAATAAATCACAAAGAATTTTGACTAAGAAGTGATAATAGATGACTTATATTCTATTAAACAATATATTACAATCTTTTTGGTTTATCATTATCATGGTGTCATTGATATATAGAGAAAAAAAAAATGGTTTGCTTGGAGTTTCAAACTCCCTAGTTGTATTTTTGGTTGTGTAATTTTAATGTGCCGTACTCTACTCAAATTGGAAGAAAATATTTTAAGTGTCTTGAATACAATACATGTTAAAAAAATTATAGAAATATGAATTTTTTTAATGTACATAAAATTCATTCTGTTTTGTTTAGTTTCTAAAATCTGTTCTTTTTTTTAAATAATACATAATTTGATGAAATATATTTTTACCAGATAATTTTTTTTTTCATTTTTTTCAGTAAATTAAAATTTTATATTTTAAAGATATGTCTAAAAATTTTAAAAAACCAAACGAGTACTACTAGGTATCCTCTGTAGTTTGGAGTTTTCAAAATATTTTAACGTATTTTTTTATTTTTAAAAATATTTTAATCAATTTATTTATTTATTTTGTAGATCCATTTAATCTTGGTATATTTGAAAAGCATAAAATTTATACAAAAAAAAATATTTAAAAATTCATTGAATGCAACAAAGTACGAAAATATACTAAATTTTCATTTTTTTTTGTATTCAGTAAAAAAAAAAATTTTAAAAAAATTCACAAATATTACACTTTATAAGTGTATCTAAAAAAATATATATTTTTTAAAAAATTCATTAAAAACAAAAAACACAGAATAAAAAACTCAATTTTCTAAAAAGTAAGTCAAACCAAACAAATGTATTACCAAAATTTCTATTAAACTATTTACATAGATGTGAGTTCCACACCCATATGAATATTTCATAGAAATTTTGATAGCATGTTTGGTGTCTCTACTAATTTGATTAAACTATTTATATTATTATCGATCTACACTATTATATTAACTAAGCCCCTATTCTAATTTCTTGAAACTTTTGCCATGTGATATTTACATAACAATAAAAAAAAAGAATATTTCATAGAAATTTTGATAACATGTTTGGTGTCTCTACTAATTTGATTAAACTATTTATATTATTATCGATCTATACTATTATATTAACTAAGCCCCTATTCTAATTTCTTGAAACTTTTGCCATGTGATATTTACATAACAATAAAAAAAAAAAAATTAAAAAAAAAAAACTCCATAATAACTTCCCACTAAATCACATTCTCCAAATAACTACTCAATAATAACGTACTTTTATTATTTATTTTTTTTACTCTTTTACTTTCTTCCCTTTTTCTACAATGGTTTTTTCTTTTAAAGAAAACAAGAGTGTTTTATTCAATTATGGTAAAGAAAGTACAAACTAATAAAAAATTATCTTTTATTTCTCTTTAAGGGTAAGTGATGTAATAGTTTTCAATTTTTATATTCTCAATAACTAAAGCTTTTGTTTATTTGTTTTTGGGTATAAATTTTTTTTTTTTTTTTTTTCCTTCCTCTTCTTTTACAATCATTTTGCTACATGATTTTTTTTTTTAAAATTTTTTTTTTGAGTTTCCAGAGAAGGCGATTAAGTCTGTTGAAGATGCCCAAATGGATCGAAGAAAAACATGAAATTGAGGAAAAAAGAGATGCAATAGAAGAAAAATAATTATAAGGTTTAGAGATTTAAAGAGAGGTCTTTTGGGACCAAAATTTGGATGTTTTTAATGAGTTTACAGAGGAAGTACAAAAGCAAAATACAAATTCATACAAGAGTTGACTATTTGATGAGCCATTATACATAATTTATATTTATGAAATTCGTATTCTTATATTTTTTTTCCAAGTTGTTTCATACAAATTTATACATTTTTTTATTATTATAAATGTTGTCTTATAACTTATATACATAATTTTTTTTTCCGAGATTGTTTTACAACTTTGTATTGTTCAAAAGAAATAATTTTTCAAATAATTATTAATATTTATCTTTTGTTTCTCTTTGACCATAGATCAAAGAGTGTTAATTTTATTTATTGTGTTAGGTTTTTTTTTTTTTTTTAAAAAAAAAAATTCTCAATGACTAAGGCTTTTGTTTTGTTGATTGTTGTTTTGTAAAAATTAATTTTTTAGTAGTTTTTATTTCTTCATTATGTTGATTGCAAAAATAAAATTAAAAAAAAAAAAAAACTCTATTTTCATTTTATTCATTATGTTGATTGAAAAACATACAAAAAATAAAGAGAACTGTGCAGATTTTGTATATATATTATATTTGTGAGTATATTTTTATTTTATTTGTTTATAGCTTTTGTACACATAGATTTTAGATGCTTTATTTATAATATAGATAGATGTGGATTTTACAATACAAACTTGAATTTAAATTATATAGATTATCATTCTAAGGATAAATTTATTCTTTTTATATAAATTTTTTTGTATACATTTTAAATATATGAAATAAAATTTTTATGACTTTGTATTCTTCAAAAGAAAAGTTTATCGTTTCTTTTTGCACATTGATTTAACAGGTTAATAGAGAAGTCAGAGAAAGAAAACAAAAACGTTTGGTTTGAGTTTTTTGAATTAAGTTTTTTGAAAATTAAGTTTTTTGATTTTTGTGTTTTTTTATTTTTAGTGAATATTTTTAAAATTTTTAATTTTTTTTTTTACTTTTTAGATGCACCTTATTTAGATGTATCTAAAAAGTAAAAAATTTGTGAAAAAATATTTTAAAAATTAATAAATACATAAAAATATAAAAAATATACTGAATTCTCGTATTTTTTTATATTTTGGGTATTTAGTGAATTTTTAAAAGGTTTTATTCACAAATTTTTTACATTTTAGATACATCTAAGTTAGATATGTCTAAAAATTTTAAAAATTGCTTAAATTATTAAAAAAAATCAGTAAAAATAAAAAAAACACGAAAAATAAGAAAGTAGAATTTTCTGAAAATTGTTTTTTGAAAAGTGAAACCAAGCATAGTAATTTTTTTATTCATTGTGTTTTCAATTTTTTTTCCTTCTATCTTTCTTTAAAACGTGGTCAAACTGCTTTTCAATTTTTAAACTGTTTTTAAAAGAATAATATTCCAAACTTTTTAAAAAAAATTTGCGCACACAAAAAAAGACAAATAATAATAAATATTAAAAAAAAAATCTCTTAATACTTGGATAGCTAAGAATAATAAGTTGAAAATATATTCTGAAAACTTACTTACTTTAGAAAGAAAGAATGAGAAAGAAATAGATATTGAAATTTTATTTTATTTTTTTTGAATTTTAATATTTGATAGGATATATATACACTCATATATATTTTGCAAGTTAATAAAGAAGTCAGAAAAAGAAAAATAAAAAAAGGGAATAATTTGTTTTATTCATTATATTTTCAATTTTTTTTTCTTACTATCTTTCTTTAAAATGTAGGCAAAGTGCTTTTCAATTTCCAAGCTGTTTCCAAAAAAATAGTATTTTAAACTTTTCAAAAAAAATTTGCACACACAAAAAAAGAATAAGGATGCATTAAAAAAAATGAATATATAAATTAAAAAAAATTAATATAAAAATAATTTTGGCCAAACTCAATATTCTAAACTAAATACATTCTCATTCTTAACTCAAAGAGATTTGATTAAAATGAAAAAAAATAAATTAAAGACTCAAAAAAAGAAAAAACTTAAAGATAATGCAAAAGTATATGAGAGTGTGTGTATATATATATTAGCAGTTGACACATGCAATACATGTACAAATTAAATAAATAAAATTAAATAACATATTTGACATCTATTGATTGTAATCTCAAATGATAAGAGTCTTTCTTATTAAATTTGTGATCTTCGGTTCAAGTCTCGGCTCATTCCCTTGTAGCTTCTTTTTATTTTTTTTTTAAATAAATAACTAGACACTTGGCATAAAAGAGAGATAAAATTTCAAGAAACCAATCTAAGTGCCATATTTATAATATTATAGATAGATAGATAGATCATATCAAATTTAGAAAAAAGTTGTGCCATTGAATACATAAATTAAAAAAAAAAACAAAACAAAACAAATTGAACATAAAAATAATTTCAGCCGAACTCGATATTCTTGACTAAATATATCCTCATTCTTAAAGAGATTTGATAAAAATGAAAATTAATTAATTAAAAACTCAAAAAAAAAATTCAAAGATAATGTAAAAGTATATGTGATTGAACTTAGAAAAAGTATATGAGAGTATGTGTATATATATCATATTAAATTCAGAAAAAAAATTTATGCAATTGAATATATAAATTAAAAAAAAAATCAAATTGAATGAGGATGTATTATGGTTGTTAAAGCCATTAATAAGTGAACGAGAAATAGACTCATGAACATAAGTTTTGTAAGGAGGGGAGTTATGGATTGAGATAGGCTCAATCCAAAACACACACGTGCGGGTGTGGGTTGGGTTGGCACTTATAATTTTTGGAGAAACCATTATTTGGAAAAATAAATAAATAAAAACTGTATTTCAGTTTTCAAACCTTGGTCTCCAACGGTCACCTTTCTTAATCGAACAGTTACATAGGTGACTATTGCTTGCTAAGGTTATTGCATATTTAATGGCAAAGCAATCTCTCATTTTAGTATGAGAAAAACATAGATTGGATCCTAGCCTTTTCGTCTTTTTTGGCAATGTTCATAATCATAATCATAATCATCTTCATCTTCATTTTTTGTTGTTTTTGTTGAGAGAGTGCTTAAACACAAATTTAGTTCGTAGTATACACAAATTGTAGTGCTACTTATGTGTGTAGGTGATTGTTGTATTCTAGAGACAAGATGTCCGTAAATCTCAAGCACCAGTGAAGAGCGCGAATTTCTGTCTTAAACACACAATGTCCAAACATTGGCCTCAATCACACCTCTGTTAATTATTTTGGTTTTGGTTCACAGTATTTGTAAGTATCTTCTGTTACTTGGTTTTATATTATTTATTTGAATACTGAATTTCGCTTTGATATTTAATTAATAAATTAATTTATCGAGAAATTATTTTTCAACAAAAATAGAGGGAATTGGAGAAAAAAAATGGTAACTTAGTCCTTAGAAAGACACATTGAGAGTGTTTGGTGGGGCTTTTTTGAGCCAGCTTATGGCTTTTGGCTTTTAAAAAGTTATTTTGGACTGTTTGATAAAACTTCTTTCAAACAGCTTCTGATTCTAACAGCTTATTTTAAGTCAAAAAAGCTGATTCTAAGAAGCTGCTCACCCCTTGCTTCTGATTATCAGCTTCTGCTGTGGATATGTTAATTCACGGTTATACTCTTAGATTTTTTTATTTTTTATTTTTTATTTTTTAAAAAATAGAAAAAGACCCAAATAGACTATAAAATATTATTATTATTTTTTATGAAAAATGTAGACAAATAGTGAATAATAAAAAATAAAAATTAATTGAAAAAGCTACTTCACATCTTATTTAACAAACACTACTCACCAACTTAAATCTATAATCTAACAACTATACCAAACAGATTAACAGCTTCTGATTAAAGTTATAATGTATAATCTGTTAAGTTATAATGTATAATCTGTTTTAACAGTTGCACCAAACAACACTATTTTTCATCTTTCTTTTTTTTATGATAATAAAAATAATTAAGAAAATTTAATGCATTCTTAAAAAGTGTCTAAGAATCCCTAGGACAGAGTAACTTAAAGAGAGAAGGTAAATTGGGCATTTGAGGCATTTTGCCTATTGAAGTTGCAATTTATAGCCTCCAACCGGCTATACAAAACTATAGGCATTTTGCCCTTTTTATTTTCACTCTCTGCATGTGGTTAGCATTGGAAGCTAGGAAAACTCTCTCTCTCTCTCTCTAGCAAATTCATTCTCCATCCCTTCAACAATCAATTCTCCAAAGATCAAGTATCACTTCATATCTCTCTCTCTCTCTTTAAGAATATGATATTATAAAAATATTACTTACCAAGAACATCGCCTGCCTTAAAGCTCTTTCCTTTAGGCCAGTTGCTCAAATTGAAGGTCCAACCACCAGCCCCTCCAACTGTGTAAGTTGCACCATCACTAGCCACCCACTGACTAATTAGCACTAGGCATACAAGGGCTACTGCAATTGCACTGCCTCTTCCCTCAGACATCTCTGGAATTGGAAGCAAAGAGGAAAGCTAACTGTGTGTGTTGACAGAGTGACAACCTGTTGTCTCTGAGGATTCACAGCTAAAGAGGCTCTCTACTCTTTTATATACATGACCAATGCTAGAAGTACACAAAATAATGTATTGGAAGGCTGAGATTAAATTCAGTTAGGCCCCGTTGGTTTTGGGTATAGAGGGACGGATGAGATTAAGACGGAGGTAAGACTCATTTAGCTTCCGTTTGGAAAGTGGGTTGGTTTTTTGGCTTTTTGACTTTTTTGACTATTTTAGCCTGGGCTAAAAAGTTTGGTTTGGGAAGGGCTTTTAGCTTTTTGACTTTTTTGACTTTTTTTGTGAGAGAAGAGTGTAATGATTATGGGTTGGATGTGATGTTTTGTTTTTTATGGCTAAAATAGCCTATTTTGTCTTTTGTGGCTAAAATAGCCAAAAAAAACCCACTTTAGTTCTTCCCAAACGGACCCTTAATGTTACGTTTATTTGCAAATTTGGGGAAGGCATCGAAATGTAAGAGGGGATTAGGTTAGGCCTTGGAAGGGAGATTGTGATGGAAAAGGTGGAAGTAGTATTAGAAAAATAGTCCGCCAGACTATATTTTTTTATTGTTTTATTTTGTACATGTTGGACATTTTTTTTTGAATATTAATGTTTAATTTTTTATATTTTTTATTAAATAAAAATCATTATTTTATTTGTTTTATTTTTTTTTGGAAAATTTTTATTTTTTTATTTTTTTACACATTAGACCTTTTTTTTGAACATTAATGTTTAATTTTTTTTGTATTTTTTTATTTGTTTTATTATTTTATATAAAAATAATTTAACAATCCTACACCAATAACTATTATCAAAACAAATATAATTTTATTTAATTCCTTCACTAACAATCCTCTCACTATTAATCTCCTCACTATAAATCTCCTCTGTTCTACTTCTAAAAACAAACAAGACCTTATGGAATGACTCATTCAAAATAAATTTCAACTTATTATTATATTTTTAGTGAAAGTCCCATAAGTTCGAGAAAGGGACGGAATAAAGATAAAATGCCCATTAAGGTCTATTTTAAGATGTAGATTAAAAGTTATTTTTATTTTTTATTTTTTATTTTTTTGAATATATAAAAAAGAATAGAGGCAATGTAATTCAAAAAAATCAAAACGTCAACTTTTTAGCTTTTAACCTCATTGCCAAAATAGGCCTATGTTTGATCAACTCTTTTATTTTTTTATCTTATTTGGATCATATCACCTTTCTATTTTTCTGTACATCTTTTTGTAAAAAGTTAAAAAATATATTTATTTAGATTATTTCAAACATTAGTAGGCAAAACTTAGGATATGCAGGTATACTCCCTCTAGTGGGCGAAACTTGGGGCCTATGGGGGATGGAATTGATCTCTTGAAATTAGTCAAGTATGCATAAATTGATTTGAACACCTAATTATAAAAATAAAAAAATAAATAAAAATAAAAAAACAATTAGCCATAATAGGGTAAGTGATGGTAGTGCCATCTCAAAAGTATAGATTACAATATATCTGGGCGGTGATTGCATTATTTAAAAAGAAATGATTGTTTAGTTGATGTGGGTTACCTACATAAAAGGGTAGAACAAAATAAATATATAAAAAATAATGTATAATGCAAGTTCATTTGTGTATAATAGGACCACATTTAAATTGAATCTGATCATATATTATTTTTTCATGTTATTTTTTTGTATTTTTTTTTTCACAAACAGCTCAAATCTGAATGTAATTAGGCCTTTTTTTTTTTTTTTTTTTTTTTTTTTTTTTTGGCAACATTCCAAATAAATTATTTTCGTAATAAGTGAGAGAGATAAAAAATAAGTCACACCTAAAATAATTCATATTTCCGCTTTTTTTACAAAATTTGAACACGTGTCTATTGTTAATATGGACAGGCGCCTAGTCACGGAAATGGGATGATTGTTGTGCTTTCCACACAACCATTATTATTGTACCCTCATATGAGTCAATTTTAAAGGGTCCGTTTGGCAAGTAAGGTTGGGGTTAAAATAGTCACAAAAAACAAAATAGATTATTTTAATCACAACAAACAAAACATCACATTCAACCCATAATCATTACATTTTTCTCTCACAAAAAAAGTCAAAAAAGCCAAAAAGTCAAAAAGTTCTTCCCAAACCAAACTTTTTAGCCCAGGCTAAAATAGCCAAAAAAGTCAAAAAGTCAAAAAGCCAACCCACTTCTCAAACGGAGGCAAAGTTTATTTTAATAATTTAAATTATTCATTTATTAAAATATATCAAATAAAATATATGTATAAAAATTTAAATTAATCACACATTATTAATTTTTCATCAACTCATATTTATATTTATAAAAATAAATAATAAATGTGATTTAAAATATAAAATTAAATACAAGTCAATAAAAAGATTAATCATCTTTGATCAATTTAAATTTTTATAAATATTTTTTAAAAATAAATAATTTAAATTATCAAAAACTAACTCATATGAGAGTACAATAGTATCTGCTGGGCCGGGAGAAAAGCACAACCGCCCAATTTCCGGCGGGTCACGGGTGCCTTTGGGAAAAGCAATGAGCAAATGGTAATTGAAAACACAGAAAATGTTTAACTGTTTATTTATATAATAATAAAATCATCTGAATTATTAATTGAAATAAAATTTTAATATTATTAAAAACTGTTAATTAATTTGATGATTTATTAATAAAATGACTTATTTGTTATAAAATTAAAAACTTTAAGGACGTAATATAATTTTTAGAACCAATCAAAATAATTTATAATTTAAGTAAATCTTAATAAATGTGTTTGCAATTTACTCTTTTAATGAAGAAGGTCTAAAAATCTAAATTAAAAATTCAAATGCTGAAACATTTTATCTAAAGCAATAATATTTACAAACTTTAATTTAAGAGTTCTAATAAAGCTTTAATAATAGATCTCACGTGATGATGTGATATTTTAAATTTTTCTTAATAATTTTTTGACACTTTATTAGAGCTCATTTTAGAATTTTCTATTACTAACAAACTCAAGTAAAATGACTAAAATAATATGAAAAATGCTTCATATCACTAATTTAACGAGTTCAGATCGTCTACCGTGATTTCCTACGGCGCCTTGGACCTTTTTTTTTCCCCCCTCTTTTGCTTTCTCTCTCATTTGCTGAAAATCCTTATCCTCAAAACAGAGAAGAGACTGACAGAGAGAGGTAGAGGTGAAGGCGAAGGAGGTTGAGGGCGACGAGGCGACGTCACGACGAGAACCTAACTCATACACTACGGCGACGGCGATGAAGCGACAACTAGCGAAGGATGAACGACGACTTGAAGATATTCTGCTTCTTTCTATTTTGTGTGTATATATATATGTGTATATATTTTTGATTTTTTTGGATTTTATATAATTTTTGATGATTTGTGTGATGGGTTTATGAAATTTTGAGTGTTTGAAGTGTTGAAATTGAAATTATACAACCAAGAAGAGAGTGGCAGGGAAAGAATAAAACCATAGCAATTGATGCAATGATATGTACTCTGTAATTTTTTGAAAGGAATGCACTCCCAATGAAGTAAGCACCACAAAACAACGAAGCAGTAATGAAGAGAGTGAAGAGACAAGATTTACTCTTTGGATCCGACAGTGGAGAAACCTGCAAAGATAATAAAAAATACCTTTGTGTTTGATTTCATCTTGGGTTTGATTTCTCATGTGTTTGATTTCTTGGGTTTTCTAAGCTCCAAAGATAAACAAGAAAATTGAAAGATAATCAACTTCTCTAAAACACAAAGAAAGCCTCTGACTCTCTTTGTTCGTCTCTTCTCTGTTTTAAAGATTAGGGCTCTCAGCAAATGAGAGAGAAAGCACAAAAAAAAAGAGGTCCAAAACGACATCGTTTTGGGCTGCTGCAGGAGGCGTCGCAGGAAATCCCTGCAGACGATCCGAACTCTTAATTTAACACCACTAATATATAACTAATAACGTGGCATCATGTAGATCTCACTATTGATATGATAGTTTGGCTTTTATTTTATATTTTGCTTTTTTCTTTACACTCCTACCTCATTAGCGATGTTTTTAGAGAGATCAATACTATTACGTATCATGAAAATGATCATAAAAGATTCTCTGTCGTTAGATTACATATATAATAAAACATTACACACTAATTAAGGGATAAAAAAATTTCATGAAGCTTTTCATGATATTTGCTGCTCTAAATCGGAACTGAAATAAGAGAAAAGTTAGGAATCATGAAAAATTTTCATGAAAATGATTATGAAAGATTTATGATCCTTGAATTACCTTAATTAATTAATGTGTGATGTTTTATTCTAAGTGTAATTAAAAAGTCACAAAACTTTTATGATTATTTTCATGAAAAGTTTTTCATGATACCTACCATTGCTGTTGAAATAATATATATGTGACACAAACTCTCTTCTCCTCTCCGATCTCGCCGTCACCGCTACCAGCCCCACCGCCGTCCTCTCCTTGTTCACCTTCACCGTACACAGCTTGTACAGCGTTGATATCGCGTCAACGGCGACATCAACGGTAGAATCGCTCCGCAAGCTCCGATCGATGTCTCTCCCTTGGTTCACAACCGTCCTCATCTCTGCTCCGGCGCCGCACACATAGTCTAGCCATTCGACCTCTTCTCCATCTCTGTTAATCCATAAAATAGGTATGTTTTCATATTCTCTCTCTCTACAATTTATTGTAATGATTTGTGGCTTTACTTTGATTGTGATTGTGATTGTGATTCTGATTCTGATTCTGATTGTAATTGTGATTTATGGGTTTACAATGATCTGAACAGAAAGTAAATGAAGGAATAGCCATGTCTTCGTCGTCGAGATCGTTGATACATCAATTCACTCCATTCTTCGTAGCTCGAATTTGACAAAGTCACAGACTCCTGAGTTCTTGTTCTGCGCTTCTCGAATTTCAATCACTACGTCCATCTCCATCTCTCGATGCTGTTCACATGACAGACAATTGCGTCCGGGTACTCTTTCTGAAGATGTGATTTATGAGCTCTTTTTT